GGGCCGCCCTACATTCGTTGACTAATACTTTTAAAGTCTTAACAACGGTTCACTGAACAAAGGAATCTAGACTTAAATTCCTGTAGCCAAGATTCAAATTGCTTCGGTAATGTTTTTGTTTTTAAGGTAGTGGCGCATAATGTTATTGCATTTGGTACAACCCTAGGCTGTAACGATGGAAGCATTTTTTTGTTTTATCAGAACTCATTAGCGTTGGCTGAATTTACGTTAAGCTTTAGCCTTTTTAAATCTTTAATAGAAACAAACAACACAAAAGTTGAAGTCTATGTAACATTTAAAAGTAATAAGACTTGAAACTTTTGTTGAATCTATTCTAAATTATCTTATTTACAAATAAAAGCCTCAAACCTTAAACCTGGAAGAAAATAATAATTATTTGTTTGATAAAAAGTTAAAATTCATCAAACAGATCTTAAAAAACGCTCAAATACTAAATGTTAAAGTTACATGACATTTACTTAGATTTGATACAAATTTTAATAAGGTTGGAGTCATCGTTCCTTGTGCGTACTGCAAAAGATTGGAACAAGGGTGGATACAGCTTTAGGGCCAGGGGATGGTCACATAGCCATGGTCAAGTCAAAAGCTTAACAAAATATGTAAATATATTTTGTCAAGCTTTTAACTAACCAGCTCCCCCCCCCCCTGGATCCGCCGTTGGATTGGAACATGTTGCCAGCATCAGTTTTCCTGTTCAAATATCACGTGGGAGCCTTCAAAAGGAGAGTGAGCTACCTATTAAGTTGGCATGTACAATCTTTCGACTGCATCGTCACTTCCTTCAGGTGGGATCGTGGCCAAGCGTTAGCTTAACAAATATTAAAATAAAGGATATAAACCCGAATTCAAAGCGTATTTATCATTACGAGTAACCGCAGCGCTGTTTATTTTGCATATTACGAAATACTTGTCAACATATTTCCAGCAACGATATTCTACCTAATACGGCCGCAGATCGGTTTGTAACCACAGAGCAGACAATTTAAATTGCTTTGATAGATTTAATACATTTCGTCATTTCAGTAAATACAAATAGTACAAAATACAAAATACAAATCTAACCTCTTTATAATATTAATTTAGATAAATCTTTTAAAAATAGTGTATTTTGTTAAATGTACTTTTAGAACTTATACCCAATAGGTTGTTGACCTTTATGTTGGATAATTTCCTTGTCTAAATGGTCTTCGAGTAATTAGCCACCCCTACCAACGTATGTAAACTTTACCATAACATAAACATTTACTACTAGTGCCTGTTTGTACTTATAATGTTCGCAGACACCGTTGTACACAAGTATTATACGATTCAAATATTATAGCAGCTCGCAATTTTGCACAAAACGCTTTTGACAAATAAAGGTTGAGCGACATCCCGACACGCTCTCCTCCAACGCAGTAGGTAAACTTAGGCGTCTAAAACACCTTAGTTGTAACACACAGGTAATAAGACAAGTGGTCTAGATGATAGCCACGGGCACCTTTACAGTTGCTCGTATCCACGAACCTTCATAAAATTTGAAACGTATAATACACAAGTACAGTCGGGTCCGGAAGCAATTAGCATCCACTGCGCTAGAAAAAACGTCATCAGCTTTCATATCTATTATAAAGAAAGGCAACAGTGAATTATTTCGCTATCTAGACTTTCTATAAAAGTTATTATCTTATAGTTTATTAAAAAAAATAGTTTAATCAGGTCAGGAAATATAATAATAGTTATTTTTCTATAAGTAATCGAATATTTTAGTCGTTGGATCATTCTTAACATCTGCAGTATATTTGACCAAGTTTTAAACACTTTTTCGTATTTTTTCTTACAATATTATTCTTAACTACCGCTTGTGACAGTCTCCACTGCCGAAAATCAGTACCAAACGTATTATCAATTACAAATGTTGAGGCAGTGTAAACCCACGGTAAACCCACGTATGATCTTCATACGCGTGATCACGAACAAGTGTGAAATGTTCACCGAGACGTATGAAATCGTACAAGTGGCGCCACTACGGCTTCGCAGTGCGCTTGTGCGTGATGCAGTACCTTGATTTGTGCACTATTTAGAGAACACATGGATTTATTGTTTTGGAGTTCTGTAAGTTTTATCTGTGGCTTTCTTCAATACACTTCTAAGAAGCATTCATATAAAACATTTCGTCACCCGTCACGTTTTCTCTGGAATAAACTAAGATGACAGTATTGTTATTTTGTTTTTCGGATTTTTTCAGATGGAAAATTAAAAAATATACATTAACCATTAACCTAAAATGGCATTTTTATGTTAAATACGTAGGAAAACATGCCATTAGGTTTTGTCTTCATTTTTTAAACACCTGTACTTGTATTTTAAAATAAAATAAACTTGTACAGAACCCTAAACGTAGTGTAAAATACGCACTACTGTAATATAGAAATAGTTAATGCCTCTTACTGCATGTTAATAACTACTTACAAGTATTATAAAGCACGCTTCATACGCTCACATCTAACTGAACAGTCGAACATAAGTACGTTTGTATAAAAAAAATTAACTGTATTCAACTGGTGGTTAAAATTTTACTTACACAAATAGAAAACAAAACTATTCTGAAAACCCGTTTTCATCGAGATGTAAGTTTTAAGCCCCTATTTCCACTAAGCGGATAAACGCTCTAGTAAAATAAGTCTGAAGGACAATAGAAACAAAAGAAATATGTCTCATAGAGCATTTGTCCGTACAAGGCTTGCGATGGCCGATAATATGTCTATTTTCGATTCGTCCTTGACTGCCTGTGCGAGTGTGTGACGCATAACACGTAAAACCGGTCGAGAGACATGTTTTCTACTCTTTTTTTTTACTATTTGGTTATACTAATATGACAAGTAATTTCTAATAATAAAAACAGCTAAGGCCGCTCAGTTTTAACTAAATACAGTAGAACTGTGATAACTTAAAGTCCAAGGGAAACACAAAATATTTTAAGTTATAGAAGTTTTAAGTTATCAAGGGTCTATGTTGTAGAGGTTTTGGGTTCTGATGGGAAGGGAACATATTATTTTTTGAAGTTATAGGGGTTTTTAAGTTACCGAGATTCTACTGTAGTACGTATTTACGTATTTTATCACAAACAGGTAACAAGTAAGATTCAATCAACTTGCCCTTATCCCTTATGGAGGGTCGGCACAGTATGTGCTGCTGTTCCATACATCTCTATCAGCCGTCATATCTGAGATTCAACAATGTAAACGAACGATAAACATTTAATCTGTAAGTTCAAGGCCAAGAGGTCTATTATAAAAAAATTTGCTAGTTTTTGGGCTTTACCATAAAAAAAACCCGGTGCGCTTTATCCAAGCCTATTATAAAAACCCAATTCTATTGTTATCCATATCAATATATAAAGAGGAAATGTTTTTAGCATGTTTTGAAATTACTCAAAAACTACTGGACCGATTTCAAAAATTCTAGCACCATTAGAGAACTACGTTACCAGTGACATAGGCTACATTTTTTAAATTGCACGCAGGCGAAGTCGCGAGAAATAGCTAATATTTTATACAAATGTCTTTACAGGAAACGGACAATTTAAAATTCAATCCAAACCGTACTCTAAACAACGACTAATCAAACAAACTAAATTGTATTTGCTTACTACATTTACAAAGTACAATCGATACAAAATCCAACAATAATTTACCTAGCAAGTTTACCTTATGAATAAGTAAAAGGTAACTTAAACGTAGAGTGTAAAGGCCGTACCGTTTTGACAGAGTTAAGCCCACTTTTGCTCACTTACCTCTAGAGTTTATTGTAACTGCGAGGAATATTCATTGCTCTTACCTGTAAAAAACAAACAGTTAAGTTAAAAACAGCTCGTGTAAAATTATAGTAAAATTTATAATTAACAATTAATGATTTTAAATAACTATATTATTTACACATATCGACCATTACGCGATTTGACGTTTTCGATTATTTTATGAAAATTAGCAACTAAATTAAAGTAATATTATAAAATAAGGATAGATAACGAGAAAAGGCAGTAAAACATTAAGTTTTAAAACATGTTTCATCATCGGTTTTCATTATTCAAACACCCATACAAGAGCAAAACTCTTACTTAGTTTTTATTTTTGATAGATTGTTTCTACAACGCAAACAGTTAAATACAATTTGCTAAACACTATTGTGTAAATTTGTTTTGCTAATAATATAGCTTGTCAAATAAGTAACTTGTTAATAAGAGCGGGCGCACATCTTTGACTAAACTATCGCACAACTGTGGGCGAACGTCGACTGTTTCTCAGCCCAGTCAATTGTTTAGTTACACAAATTAAAATCATGTAGTGTGCGCACCACCATATAAGCTCATAGAAATCAAAGCGATATATAGTTGAGTTTAATCAAACATGTGCGAACGCTCTAACATAAACTGATTAGGTCGAAGGTACACGAGGTCAGTAGATTGAAGTGTCAATGTTCTTCTCATATCGATGTTTGTTGTGACAAATAAGTTTGTCTTTAGGACCAGTCTACATATTTCCATCCTTTTCATTCTCTTCGATAGATCAGAGACAAGAATACGTGTTTATACAAATTCCATAACAACCGAAACCCACTTTACAATAGTACATTTCAACGTTGTTATTCATAATAATTATTTCACGCGACTTTTGTTTGTCTAGTAATAAATTGATATCATTGTTTTGTTAGTAACGTATCAGAGTGTTAATTCAACTCGTTATGTTTTTAATATAAATTATCTGCGTGTGTCGTCAACACTCCAAATTAAACGATAAGTTACAAGTGTCATAGAGTACATGTAAGTTATTATTAAACTGCGATGTCTACATTGGTAAGCCGTAACTTAACATACACATTATGTGGTAGCTATTACTGATTTTAATTAGACTAATATCTCTAGACTTCCATTCTAACATGACAATGACTCTTCGGTTTATAAAACAATCACAAACACTTAATACATAGTAAACTGTTACCTGTACAGAAGTCCTGGGGGAGACGGGAGAGGTGGGCGTTCGCGTCGGGGGCTCAGCTTTATGTTCGGCGAGCACACGATGTTCATGCTTCGTGCCAACCACCGAATTCTTCACGCGTTCCATACGAGCCTGTATCGCCTTACGAGATATAACCTTACTCTTCTCGTCTTTCGTCCCACCG